CCAGCCCCCAAACACCACCCAGGGGCGACAGAGGGGCCATCCTGTGTCCCCTGACCCCCCAAGGCACCCCGAGAGCGCTGCAGGGCAGAGCCGGCTCCTCGGCAGGGCTCACCTGGAGGCTGCTGGTGTCTCCGTGGTCCCAGGCACTTTTGGTCTGCTTCTGCTTCTCTGGGGAGGGAAGGCAGGGGGTAAATCCCTCCGGGGGAGCCGCCAGCCAGCAAAACGGCTGCCGAGTCCAGCAGTGCTGCCCGCCCCCCCCAGCCACTGCTGCCAGCCCCGGTGCTGGACTCCGGTCAGCCCCATCGCGCCGCCCACGCAGCCCAGCCAGCCAGGAGCTGGGGCCGGCCAGCTGCACCCTCCGCCATGTCCCCAGGCCACCCCCGGGGCTGGGGACACCTACCCTGGTGCTGCAGGGACTTCAGTCCCTGCTGGGCCTGGTTGTGCAGCTCCTCCAGGTGCGGGGGCCGCGTGCTGGGGAAGAAGACGTTGTCGGGGCATTCCTCGCCCGCCGTGTACTGCACGCTCAGCCGCTTCTCAGCCTCGCCCTTGGCAGCGCCTGCGGAGACAGAGGGGTCAGCTTGGCTGGGGAGACACAGCCGTGCTCCCAGCGATGCACCCCCACCCACAGGATGCGGCCCCAGCGAGCTGGGAGAAGTGCCGGGCGATGACAGCCGCCCTGGGATGACGTTATCCCGCTCATCTCCGAACCGGGTGCTGGAAATGCTGTGCAAGAAATTGTCTCCCGCGGCTCTGCCCGGCCGGTCGATATGCTGGAGTCGGGCTGTCTCCACCACGAAGCCGTAGGGTTTTCTCCCCGCTGGCCGGAGCGGAGCTGGGGCATGGCACCACCCTCCCCAGCTCCTTCATTAGGAGCAAACGAGGCAGCGAGTTGTGCGGGGCTGCGGGCAGCTGAGCGGAGAAGAGGCAGCACGGGGGGGATTAAACCAGGATAGAAACACGATGACTTTCCCTTTGGAAGGTTGCATCATCCCCAGGCCTTGCAAAGCACCCTAAGAGCAGGGACGCACCCCGTGCCCAGGCAGGCTGGGAACTGCACAGATGAGGGAAACTGAGGCACAGCCTGGTGCAGAGACCCCAGAGGACCCGAATCTCCCCTCCGAGCCCCCCAGGTGCTGGAGACCCCATATGCCATGCCAGGGCTGGCACGGGGCCCTCCACGCCCCGTCTCACAGCCCCCTCCCCGCAAACCATCGCCAGCACCCTGGGGTGCCCACGACCAGCTCCGGGCGCTTGCTGGGGGCTGCGCCTGGCATCGCCCGGCCACGGCACTGCGGGCACAGCCCTGCCTGCTCCTGCCTGCACGCCGCTGCCTGCCGCGAAGCCTCAAACTCTTCCTGCCTGGAAATAAACAACTTCAGGCTGAGGAAGGGAAGGGCGAGCACAGGAAACCGGCGGGGCTGGCGGCAGCACCCCGGGGACACTGGCTCAGCATCGCCGGCGCCATGCACCCATCCTCTGTCCCCCGCGTCCCCCGTCCCCGCCCGGCCAGCC